TTTCTTGTAGCTTCGCTTGAATATGGCTCTACAATACGGAGGAGTCCAAAGAGACTTCAAAGAACGATTTTCTGACAATTATAACAGATGGCTCGACAATAGATTCGAAAAAGATGATGAAGAAGTTGACAAATCAAAGCATCTTTCTCCAGGAATCCTGGAGAAGGAGACGACGGCTGAGCAAGATCGTCTTGAAACCGATTCTTCACTTCCGGACGATACCATCTTCGGTTTTGAGAACGAGATAAAGTCAATGAAGAACTTCTTGCTGGATCGAAAGGTCTACAAGGAGTTCAAGACTCTTGTGATTGTCGGAGAATACGGTGTTGGAAAGACAGCATTATGCAAGAAGATCTTCAACGATGATGATGTGAAGAGTGTTTATGCTCCGAGGATTTGGGTTTCTATGCATAGCCAAGAGACACAGGCAAGAGAGGAGGACAAGAAGATATCTGTGTTGAAGAGGATCTTGAAGGATCTTGGCGTTGAAAATGAGATGCTCAAAACCATCCGTGAAGAGACTGAACAAGAAGTTGCAACCAAGAAGGAAAAAGGAGAGACTGATACAGAGACTGTTACAGACAAGGAGATCTCTGCTCTGCTCTATGCACTTCGTTTGAATCTGAGGTTTAAGAAGTATCTGATTGTGTTTGATGATGTGCGAGAAGAAGACGATTGGAACGAGATTCTTGAGGATGATGAGAAGAAACTCAAGGAGGATGAGAGATGCGGAAAGTATCTTTCAGATGGATTCCCTAAAGGTTCTGGTGGGAGAGTCATATACACGACAAGGGATGTGAAGTTGGCGAAGAAGCTAGTAGCAGAGGAACATGAGATACATCGTCTTTGGCCTCTGACTGATTTAAAAAGTGTTTGGGATATATATGAAGCAGCGCTCAAAGAGAATAAGCAGAAAGAGCCTCCAAGGAATGACACGAAATGCATAGATGAGCTAATGAACAAGTCTCGAGGTCTTCCTCTAGCTATTAAACTGATGGCCACACTTCTTCCTGTGTTTCTTAACGATGAAAAGGTTGCGGAAGACGGTTCTGCCAATGGAGGAACCGATAACCTACACGCTTCAGAAGAAGATAGAAGAACTACACCTCTGCAGACTCGAGAAGATTGAAGAGCTCTTTTTCAATTGTGTTATCAAGCTTGGTTTTATTTTCTTAGTTGCTTGTTTGTGTTTCTCTGGTTTTATGCTGTCTGTTTGTCTTTCTGTTGTATCAATAATCAAGAATCTCTTCGTAGAGCTTCTTCAATGTCACACAATGTTTCTTGAGTTTAGTGTCTCAAATTCTTGAGCTTTTAACTGAAGAAACCATAAGTTGTTTGATGCAAAGCAAAGTAATTCATGGAGGAAATATATGTCCAAAGTCAAGAGAGCTTTATTGCGGAATGAAAAAGAATACTTCATACATAATAGTCACGCCGTGACCGAAGTCAGAACAGAGGGAAGCTCCATTGGACAAACAAGGTAGTTTTAGAAGGAAACACAAAAGAAAATCTTATCGAGCAGAGTCTTCAAATGACTTGGACTCTCAGATAGAGATGATGATGATGAGGGCTCATAACTTATTGAGTCATAAGAAAAGAGTCTTTCCGCTTTAACCGGCTATTTTTCTTGAGTATGGATTGGGTGGTTGCTGTGTAGGTCTGAGGAACATGTCACCACTTTCTCCTACCCAACCTGCCTTCATCGCGGGTTGTTGTTGCTTTTGACTCTGATAAGTCCATCTTCCTCCCATTGTTGCATTCATCATTCTATTTGCAGTCTCCGATGGCCCACGAGGAAAGACCCAGTTCTTGTTCATAGGTGCTGCAAAATAGGTGCATCATTTAATTTCTGTCAGATAAAAAATCAACTATATGTGAACAGATATATGTGATTTTAACTACTTACGAGGACTCTTCCTTCCAGGTGGTGGTATATACTTAGCATCTTTGACATTATAACTTCCAACAGGTTTGTTATTCCATGTCGTGTCCTGGTTAATCTTATTAGCGATGTCCAACTTCCGCGGGTTCACACCAGCACCAAAAGGAACATTCGTCTTTGGAGTAGCATAATTGTTGAAAGGCTTATTATTAGCATTATGGGTCAAAGCCGTCGGTGGCAACTTCTTCACAGTTTGCTGCTGCTGCTGCTCAAGAGACCCTCTCGGTCCAACAGACAGTTTGGCACGGAGAGATGGTGGAACATAGTAGCAGCACTGGAAGAACGGATGCTGCAGAGCCTCTGCAGCACTCGGTCTATTGCAGGGATCCCATGAGCAGAGACGCTCTATAAGGTTAACCGCCTCTGCACTTGCATATGGCATCAAGCTTGAAAGATGTACACCGGGAAGCTGCATGATAAAAAACAGATCACTACAAGTAACCTAAGATACAAAATCAGTTACGCTTTTTTCATCAGAAATGTTGAAGATTTGAGCAGAAAATTACCTGAGGGAATTGGTAATTGATAACACTAGCAAGATTAAGCCCCTCCAACCATGTCTTTTCAGTTGGGCTGCCTATCACACTGCAGATTTTATAGATCTCATCTGCTTCACTGTACCCATCAAAAAGATACATTTTACTAGTTCAGCATCACATATGCAACATTATTTAATGAGGAAAACTGCAATAAACAACCATTGACAAATACCTAGCTCCGGGGAAAAGAGGGCGGAGAGACAACAGTTCAGCCATAATAGCCCCCATCGCCCACATATCTGAAACACTATCGAAGTTAATCCATTGCTATACACCAAACTGAAGACACTTATTTGGTTCGAATTTTGGGAACACTAACCAACTTTTGACGTGTATACATATGACTGTAGCAGTACTTCAGGTGCCCTGTACCTGTAAGAAATTTAGAACACAGACCTTAGGGTGAGTAAAGAAAAGGTATGGCATAAATCAACAAATCGCCGTCACTACATGTATCATCGAACTACATACATTAATTTTTGAAGGACACGTTTCCACAGAGCAAGGAAGTGAATCTTACCAGCGTGTAGAGACATACTCTGTATAAGGTGGACTCGAATCAATCTCCCGGGCCAGGCCAAGATCAGCAATCTTAATGATGTCTTTAGAGACTAATAGATTTTCTGCATCGGGGAAAAATAACATATGTTTCATTGACAAACTATTTAACTATGACTACGGTAGAAAAAGCTGGAAATTGAATCAAACAGTCTATCCCCATCGCACATGTGCTGATGTTGATTGGCAACTCAAGGCTATGAATTACCTGGCTTAAGATCACGGTGGAAGTATCCACGCTGATGCATGTAAGAAAGGCCTTGGAAGACTTGAAAGCACCAATTTCTGATATCAGATTCTGCAAAAAGCTTAGGGCGATCCTTCATAAGCTGGTAAAGATTGCACTCCTGATCAAGTAAGAACAGAGAATATTTAGTGCATTGGAAAAGAAAAAGCTATGGCAAAAAGATCAAACAAAAAGCAGTAAGAAGTATACCATGTACTCGAACACAAAGTATAGGATATCCATTTCCCGGATGACTTCCTTCAGCTTCACAATGTTTGGATGATTCATTCTACTAAGCGACTAATATGAGGAAAGGGGAGGAATCAGCAAAGGTACAAGAAGAAATAGTGTAAACATTTCAGTGAAGGAGATACAATACCTTCACTTCCCTCAAATTAACACATTCTTCCCAAGAGTAATACTTCTTCTTCATTCTTTTAATTGCAACCTGTCCACAGAAAACTTCAGTACCCTAAAAACAAACACAAACCATGTACAAGTCTCTCAAAGAAAACAACTTACAACTTCACCCGTCTGTTTGTTGACAGCTCGCCAAACATTCCCAAAAGTTCCGTCACCAACTTCTATCATTAAGGTGTACCTACAGTTGCAAAAGGCATTGATTAGCAAACACAAACTATAAATCACGGGGTCCGAAGGCAAAGATAAAAGGGAAATCAAACCTACCTCTCCATCGTCTCCGCGGTAAACCAAACTATCCCCTTTAGTTTTTGAGAGTAAAACTACAATATGTCTATAACTTTAATCTTCCTGTTGTTTGTATGGCAGCAAAATCAACGATTCTCCCACTGGGTAGACTGACCGTTATTTACTTTGGAAATCAATCGGTTGACCACAAAGGCAAAAGAAAGACACCAAGAGAAGAAGACGAAACATACTGAGAACTAGAAGACACAATGAACCAACAAGAAGGAATGTTCTGGATAACAGGATGAAACCTACGCTCACAACATTTCACTCAAGGGGTTCAGAGACTCGAGAAAAAGACTATCAAATCTACGACATGTCAAAACTTGAAAAGAAACTGACACATCCTTCTTCAATCAGTTCCCATAAGAACCAGACACGTAATAGGGACTAACAATTTTTTTTCTGCAGGGACCAGAATATGATAAAGACTCTAGGACTATGCTAAGGAAGGATAATTTGCCGACATCAGCCCTGCAGAAAACAAAGGTGTAACAGAAACAATCATGTTTCAGAAGTCCAACAAATATGACGTAAAAGAAAAATCCAGGAATCAAATAAGCTGTCTATAAGTTAGGAATATAATGACATGTTTTCACTCTATCATCTATTTCCTTTTTGAGATTTCCTAAATTCTTGATAGGAGTTTTTCCCTTTTTCTAAATTTCCATATTCTGTATTCATATTCCAAAACAATCTTTTAAAAAATTTGATAAACCTCTTATTTCCTTATTGAGATAAGTACCAAATTTACAGCTAGGTCCTCAAATATGTACGAAAAATCAAAAAGACAATACATACACTCAGGAAAACCATACCTGACACAGAAATTTGCATCACACCTTCCTGAAAGATCGCAGAAGAAGGGTAACCACTAAGTGCAGTTCACGAAAGAGCCAATAAGGAAATCTGCGCGTGCAAGAAACCGCCAATCGAGTGCTTCTTGCAATGAGAAAACCCGATACTGGTCGCTGCCTGAGCAGATGTAATCTTGTTCCATATCTCAAAAGAAGAAAATCCACTAAAATCGAAGCTTAATATAACCTGAACATGAAAACAGCAGCAGGAA